AGGGGGGGAACAGATGACATGCACAGGGAGAGGGAACTATTCTGTTTTGACAACATTTTTGCCAGGACGAGGGGCCGTTTGTTTTTAAAGGGACCAGACTTGAAATTCTCTGTTTCCTAAAGTGAGATAAACCGAGAGACATGAGGTTGGCATCTTACTTTTTCAGAAACTTTGCTGCTGCTACCATTTAGCAACTCTGGAGCCATCCATGGTAGTGTTCCTCTCAGACCACCAGAAACCAAGGTGTTTCGCTTTATCTTTGACAAACCAAAATCACCTACCTAGCAAGTCCATCACAAAAATATCAAATACTAATTACACATTTGCTGACAGATAGTTTACTAGGAACCTTAACTCATATTCCTTTTTTTTTATGGGTAACTCAAGTTACATGCAATATCATCAGAAAACCAAAAAAAATTAAGATCATCTAATTAAACAACAATAATATCATGATTAGACCTTGCAAATTGGTCGCGATGGATCTTTCAAATTCACCAGCAAATTGTCACATTTCAGATCAAAATGCACAATATTCTTAGAGTGCAAGTACTCCATTCCAAATGCCGCATCCATTGCTATTATGAGTTGTTTACGGCGATCAAGATGTCTGTAAAAGGTGAATATTATATCATAACAGGGAAACAAGGCTCAAAATAGAAAGAGAGTGGATATGTCGTTTCGTGTTCTAGGAGAAACTAACGATCCAGATATTTTGTTTGGAATGAGTGCAAAATTCGAGCTAATAAGTGGGGTTCTACCTATCTTTGCGGATCAGAACATGTCTTAGCGAACCATCAGCCATGTACTCTGCCACGGTAGCTAATGTACCCCCAGGTCCATCTTTCACTGCACCATAAAATGCCACAACGTTTGGGTGGTGAAGCTTTGACAAAATCTCAGCTTCTCTCCAGAACTCTATGGCCTGGAAGGTGGAAAGACTATGAGTAGCTGATCTGATAGAGCTTTTACGCACATACTTTAGGCACTAGGCAAAGTTATGAAGAGAAAGAGGGGGAAAACCGCTTTGGTCCGTAGGGTTAAGAAAGGTTACCAATCTCTCTAGTTCTGATGATTGCCCAGTGAAGCAACTCTTCTTTATCCGCTTAATGGCAACATCCGTTCCTCTCCATTTTCCATGATACACTGTGCCAAATGTGCCTGAACCAAGTTCTCTCAGTTCCTCGAGGTCTTCATTGTTAATGATCTGCAAGAAAGCAATGTGAAAATGAGGACTATTGAGAACTCCTTTGTCCACCTCCCACCCCACCCCCCTCTATAATACAAAAAGTGAAGCCTAGGAGAAGCTTAGGATTTTTAAACAAAGAATTTATGGAAATGAAATTGTCAGCAGGCTGTTTAATATAGCAAATCGTACACCCACTCTTCTGCCCAATTTATAGCAGTATGTTTGATACAGCAGGAAATAAGAGCATTAGTAAAGCGATGGTAGGATATTTCCAAGACATGGTGTCCATTCAGTATCTGGCAATAGGAAAGGAAAGAAAATTCAATGTATTTGAAAACTCCCCTCTATCACATCAAAAGCTTCCAGCTGCTGTCTACCCAAACTTTCCTCCTAGCAAATGTACAAAATATCCGTAGTCAGACATATTACTTCTCTCTCCAGTCTCCCCACAGGTGAAAGTCCATTGTGTCCCCTGCCTTTACTCCCTTCAGGATTACCTAAACGCGTTTTCTTTTCTCAGCCTTTTAACTTCAAGGAAATATCCATTTCCTTCCTAAAGTGCACCTTCTTGCATGTAATAGCATGCAAATGAATAGAAAGGTAAGTCCCCCCCCCCGCCCCACC